ATACAATGGACTCCGGACTAGGTGCGTTTCTTTAAGTCTTCCTACCAATGTGACCGAGTTGCAAAAACAAAGTCAAACAACTTCTATTCAACGAAAGGAGACTACGACCACACAAAACGCCACACCATCTTGGTCTTTATACCTTCGAAGAATGGAAACAATTGCAACGTGAGAAAGACGGAGCAGAGCAAACCAGTAAGTAGTAGTAGTAGTATCAACAGTAGTAGTATTAGGGGAGGAGGAGAGCTGAGCGCGCCGACCGGCCGTCCCTTTTTTCTTTTTCTGGGGACCCGATGAGAGCAGTCGGTTTCGGATGCATCAGCTGACTTCTCAGTTGCCCACTTTCAGAAAGGGTTCACCCACTCAGCCGGTCAGACGGCCTCCCGACGGCTCGAGCTGCCTCTACCTGAGACGTGTTTTGTCGGGAAAAACAACTTTATGCGTCGGTCGAACCAGACCAGTTCTGCCTTCAAGTGCCCTCTTCTCTCTCGAACTTGGCAGACAAGCAGACAATCACACAGAAACACACATACATGCAGGCTGACATGTGGAAGTCCAGAAGGAGGTATGATTGGTGCAATCAGAATTTCCCAGAAATGGTTCAAGTCTGTCGTGCTGCCTCGACGATGGACTCGAGGTAGCTAGTCGCCATGGGAGACAAGCGAATCCAGTCGTGCTCGAACGAGAAGGCGTTTTCAGCGAGAAAGTCAAGGAGCGCACTTGATTGCTTCATTTAGGCTCAGACAACCGACTGACACCAAGTTGGTATGACGTCCATTTTGGTCGAGGGCAGTTTTCTCAAATGGTTCGTGCTGTGAATGTGCACATGCTACAATCCCAGTCGAATGGTGAAAAGTATCCTCCGGGTCACCCTGGCAACACAAACAAGGGGACAAATTGTAATCGGGCTTAGGCGAGTCTGCTGTACCACCGTCGGTTCGTGTAAAAACGGCCCGAAAACGAGATTGGTGTACTTCAATCGCACCGAAATAGAGCGAGGAATCTCACTCGCTCTGTCTTAGTTTGTAATAGTAAGGTCGGCATACTCCATGAGACCTCCTCCCTCGACTTGGATGCAAACCAAGTGGACCTTCTTCTTGCGTGCAATTAGGAGAGAATGAATCTCATTCCTACAACTCATCAGG